GCTATGCTGGGGATTATTAGGAAGAGTATTGAAAACAGATCAGCCAATATCATAATGCCCCTATATAAAATAAAGGTGCAACCTCATTTGGAATACTGTGTGCACTTCTGGTCACCACACCTTAAAAAGGATATTATAGTTTTGGAAAAAGTGCAGAAAAGGGCAACTCGAATGATAAAAGGGTTGGAACACTTTCCCTATGAGGAAAAGTTAAAGCACACACCTTAAAAAGGATATTATAGCTTTGGAAAAAGTGCAGAAAAGGGCAACTCGAATGATAAAAGGGTTGGAACACTTTCCCTATGAGGAACGGTTAAGGCGCTTAGGGCTCTTTAGCTTGGAGAAACGACGACTGAGGGGTGACATGATTGAGGTTTATAAGATTATGCATGGGAAAGAGCAGGTAGAGAAAGAGGTACTTTTCTCCCTTTCTCACAATACAAGAACTCGTGGGCACTCCATGAAATTGCTGAGCGGTCAGGTTAGAATGGATAAAAGGAAGTACTTCTTCACCCAAAGAGTGATTAACACTTGGAATTCACTGCCACAGGAAGTGGTGGCAGCTACAAGCATGGACGGCTTCAAAAGGGAATTAGATAAGCATATGGAGCAGAGGTCCATCAGTGGCTATTAGCCACTTTTGGCCACTGTGTGACAGAGTGTTGGACTGGATGGGCCTTTGGCCTGATCCAACATTGGCGTCTCTTATGTTCTTATGTTCTTATGTTAATGGTTTATCACCTGGATCATTGTCATGCCACCTCTACCCCATCTCTAAACCTCTGCAAACATTTTTGGTGGTTGTACCCAGTGCTTCGGAGAAACTACTAAGATAAGGGCCAAAACAGATTGTGAATTAGTAATCACAGAACAGCTTGCTGCAAGGAAGATGCAAGCTCCATCTAAATCTGGCATTAGCCGCTTGTTAGCCGCCCTGAGCTGCTTGGAAGGGTGGGATATAAATCTCAATAAATAAGTAAATATTTATTTAAATTTGTTAATCATTCATAAAAACATCAAGAATAAACAATTTATGCATTGTTCCCCCCCCCCCCATTATATTACAGGTTGTTCCACCCCAGAAAATGTCCTAATCCTTTATCTTTTTTATCTCCTTCTCCTTCCTCTGGATGCACAGCTAGAATGCACAGACTCTGACCCTCATCTCGCCACCGTTCTGGATTCTCCTGCCTCCTCAGATGGGGTGTATGCTCTTTTTCTTTTGCAAAATCTTTAGGATGATTTGACAACTTTTTGGCCTTTGCCCTTTAGTTTGGCCTCTCAAACACTTGTGTTTGCTCTGTTTTAATACTTGGTAGTCTTGTTTCATTTTTCTGAATGCTTGTGTAATATGGACAAGGATGCTGAAATTCAAGTAACCCCAAACTGTCTTCAAGTACTTGAAGGGATGTCATATAGACGATGGTGTGGAGTTGTTTTCTGTTGCCCCAGAAGGTCAGACCAGAACAACGGGTTGAAATTAAATCAAAAAGAGTTTTCAGCTAAATATTAGGAGAAACTTCCTGACTGTTAGAGTGGTTCCTCAGTGGTGGAACAGGCTTCCTCAGGAGGTGGTGGCCTTTCCTGAGAAGGACAAGGAGTTGCATTTATACCCTGCCCTTCATTTGGAGCCTCAGAGCGGCTTACAATCACCTTCCCTTCCTCTCCCCACAACAGACACCCTGTGAGGTAGGTAGGGCTGAGAGAGCTCTGAGAGAACTGGTCTTGAGAGAACAGCTATGAGAAAACTGTGATTTACCCAAAGTCACCCAGCTGGCTGCATGTGGAATGGGGAATCAAACCCGGTTCTCCAGATTAGAGTCTGCTGCTCTTAACCACTACACCAAACTGGCTAGATGGCCATCTGATAGCAATGCTGATTCTGTGAATTTAGGCAGATTATGAGAGAGAGTGTAGACAGGTTTGCACCAAGGCTTAGTTCTCTTGGCCCTTTCTTACATGCCCTGGGAAATGCCAATCACCACTTTAGGGTCAGGAAGCAATTTTCTCCAAACAAATTTGGCCAGGGATCCTGGAGGGTAGTTTTGTTTTGTTTTTTGCCATCTTTTAGGCATGGAGCAGGGGTCACTGGGGGTGCAGAGGAGAGGTAGTTGTGAAGTTCCTGCATTGTGCAGGGGGTTGGACTAGATGACCCTGGTGGTCCCTTCCAACTCTATGATTCTATGATGTCCTCCAGGGATTTCCTACCCTTTTTCTAACATCTCACAAGCCCAAATTCATAGATGATAATGTCAAAAGCAATTTTTTTTCTCTCATATTCCCTATCACCTTGACTCTACTATGTCAAAAATTAATCCAACAATTGAGTTTAAAGTTGTCCAAGGGAATGTGAATAACCAAAGGTGACCTCAGTATCTGGAAGCAAGCCAATCTCAAACTAAGGTTGTCTCGTGCATCAAGCACAGTATTTCTGAATGTGTTATACTGGCCTGTTTATTTTTGTAAAAAAAAACATACACAGGCCATTCTGTTGTGCAATAGCCTGCCCTTTCTTGAGCTTTCATTTGGGGAATGTATATAATGCCATAATCAACTTGGTAAAAACATTTACATTTGGTTAATGTTTCCTTTCATTATACCTTGCAAAATCACCAGCAGCTTTAAATTACTGATTTATGCAAGGACATGGCATAGTAAATGGTAACTGTGAAGGGCAATATGTTTGTACTAATTGATCCTTTAATTTGCTTGGGGTGAGTCACTCCTACTAATGTTGTATAGCAGCAGTAGTGCAACTTCTGCAGCACTGGAGGCCACAGTGAAAGCAAAACATGACTCACATAAATTGTGTTTCATTTTGTTGCATGGGATGACCATAATTTCCATACTGAAAAAAGACACATGGGGTTAACCCAAGATGGCCGTGTGCCATAGCTGACAGAACTCCTGTGCTATTTGGTAGACTGGGAGAACAAGCAGCAGTTGCCCAAGTATCCTCAAGAGAGTTCAAAAGGACATGGGGACAGGTGTTAAAATGTACCATAGGAATATGTCCCTCATACCTAAGTCCCAGTTGCCTTCAAAGTATGGAATAGGGTTTTTCCCCACGCACATGCTCATACTGATAGAAATGTATAAAGCTACCATGAAACACAGACAAACAGACAGACACTGGCTTGGATCCCATGTGAGATTTATCAGGATTTGTATTTGCCACTAGTCTCATCCTACAGCAGAGCTATAAGAGAAGATGTGTCTACTGACACCTTCTGTGCAGCTTTTCAAGGCAATGAAGACCTGACCTGTTGTGAATCTGATGACACCTGAGCTGCAATGCACATTCCTATGTCCTCTGACTTCAGAATATGTGAAGCTACCTGTACTGAATCAGACCACTGATCCACCTAGCCCATTACTGTCTACAGAAACCTACAGGAGCTGTCCTAGTCCTGCTGTCTGTGATCTTTTAAACTAGAGATGTCAAGAGGTGAGAGAGGACTTCCTGCTTGCACTAAAAGCTTCTGCCCTGAGCTATGGTTCTTCCTTTTAAACATTGGCCTTGGGCAGGACTTACTACACCCAAACAAGAATTGTGCCTCAACACCAACAACATTGGTCCTATATTTGGTTGTGGGGAGAGCATCCAGGCAAGCTGTTCTAGTATTAGACTAGATGTGTGTTGGATTCCACGATGTGC